TTATTATTTTTTTTTTTTTTTTTTTTTTTTTGGGAACATGCTCCAATCTATTCGTGGGGAGCAGCACGTGCTGGGAACCGGGCCCAGCGTCCCATTTAAGATCATATTGAGAAATTGAGAAATTTATGGGAAAATCCTTGAGGTACCGGGGCCATTACCCGACTTCGGCTAAGAAAAGCAACTGTGCACAAGAACACTAAAATTTTTTTTTTTTTTTTTTTTTTAAATGGAACATGCTCCAATCTATTCGTGGGGAGCAGCACGTGCTGGGAACCGGGCCTAGCGTCCCATTTAAGATCATATTGAGAAATTGAGAAATTTATGGGAAAATCCTTGAGGTACCGGGGCCATTGCCTGGATTCGGCTAAGAAAAGCAACTGTGCACAAGAACACTAAAATTCTCTATCCTCCAAAGCTCGGATCAAAAGGAGCATTCAGAACAAAAGAACCACCTGCTTTAGGACCTTTCGGCAGCCCAACCCTACCTGCCTCACCCCTATAGCCCGATGCCCAATCTCTACCAGGCCTCATGCCCCTAACTGCTAGGTTACAGGGTGGCCCGACCCACCCCAGAAAACATTCTGAACATTCTGAGACTTGTCCTCTATTTGCGTGCGTGACAGCATGATTCTTAATGGTATATGCTCTTATGTTGTCCTCATGCTTGCGCTGTCTTTGCCGGACAGTCCTCACTTTCCCAATAGTCCCACTATATACGTGGGTCCAAAAGAGGACAAACCCTAAGAATTATTAGTTTCTCCAGCCATCCCAAACTGTTACCTAACCCTGCTATATCGCCCTGCCACCCGTGCGACAGGGGCCAGGCCCCGCAGGCCCCAACTGCAGGTGCAGACCCCACAAACCCACCCACCTCCTCGCGATTCAGGGTAATCTACTCACCCTATCTGCGTCCACTCCCTAACGAAGACGTCACCACCCTCCATGATAAAGCCCCTGCAGAGCAACACTCACCATACCCCCGGAAAAAAGGAATGACAGCGGAGACCCAAGCCTGAGATGAATACCTATCCCGAACACAGCACTTATCACTTGATGTCCTCATGAACCTGCAGTGACACCCCACCACCCGTGTGGCAGGGGTTGAAGACCCTGCATACCCACCCGCCCCCTCGCAATCCAGGGCGCACCACTCCACCAATCTGTGTTCGCTCCCAAGAAAACTCCACTGCGCACCATGATGCAGTCTCCGCAGAGCAACACGCACGAATCCGTCTGACAGCCTACTACTGAAATCAACAACTATACTTACTAACATTCAGGATGAAGAAAGTCAGAATTCCATACAAAACCTAAAGTGATCTGCCGACCAAAGGAAAAGGCAAAACAAGAAACCAAAATTGCTGAAACTCTTGTCTAAAAAGACGAGGCAAAATTCCAATCGATGCAAGAGAAACTAAAAATGTTCAAAAATCATAATACCAGTAATCATCCACAACGATCAACCAAGGAAGCATATACCACATAAAGCTTCAAAGCTCTCCCCTAAAGCGGTCAGAGGCGATCAAAGTTTATGAGCAGAGAATGGAAGCACAAACAACTGGACAATTAGCACAGCGCAAAGAACATAGCAACAGTCTTCGAGTCAACTTGTTAGCAGCTGCAGCGGCTCCCATTATGCGACCAGCGCACTGCAGGAAGAAGTCCCAAATTGCCAAGTGCTCCATATCGAAGACCACGGGAGTCAATCCCTGATCGGTCTCATCATGTCTGGTGCAGCGCCCAGGCTATGCCGTCTGATCGACCCTTCGTCTTCATCAACGCCCTCCACCATCAGATAGGATTCCTGGGCAAAAATTGATCAGCCAGAGCTGACCTTGGACAGGAGCTGTGTATTATGGCTCCTTCGGCGTGTTCCCTCTCACCTCCCCACTCCACCATGGCCAGGTCAACACCAAGTTCTAGCGATGGTGCTGACAGGTTCCTGGTTCCGCTATTGTGATCCCCCAGTGTATGAGCGCCGCCGGTGGTGTCGCGCTAGCGCTGCGTTACCGCAGCGCTAGCGAACCGCTTATTCCCTTCTCATCTTTCCTTTTTCTTTTTTCTTTTTTGGTTTGCGACCAAAGTTATCATGCTTTTTTTGAAAAAAAATACTGAGGGCTCTTTCCAGTAATCCCCATCTACCACGAATACTGACTTCCCCCAAACACAATGTACCCTGATAACGAATGTATACAAGGTATCTTTCTGGTAAGGTGCACAAAATGGGGGTGCGCTGTGCTCGAAGGACGAAGGCAGTGGCAAGTTGTGGCAAGATCCCAAAACAGTCGAGCCGAGAAGTGGAGTCGAAAAGTCAAGTTGGTTTCATGGTGCGTCAAACCGATCACTTTCCAAAGTCTGTCACTCACTTGTCCTACTTGTAGCTGAGTTTGGGCCTCGCCACACTACTCCCGACTTGGAGAAAATTTAGAAAAATTTCGGGGGTACTCCCGAACGTCCGAAGACGCGAAAATCCATTCGGGAGTGCACTTCACCACACTGCACTCCCGACTTGGGGCGCTCTCCAATTTGGGGCCCAGGAGGTGCACTTCAGACAGAGACTGTCCAGTACTGTCCAGCATGTGGAGATGAAAACTGTGAGGAGAACGCTTGGCTGCGCACGAGTTCTCTGGTCGAAACACTGGCCTCCGTGAGAGGTCTCCCGAAAATGGCCTTTTACGGGCGGGAGGCTCAAGCGATTTCAGGAGTGCTCTCGGGAGCCACATTCTGACAGCTCCTGAATTCAATCTGACAGGTTGAACTTGGGAGCTGGTGTGGCAACGCAGCACTCCCGAAAATGGTCAAGTCGGGAGTAGTGTGGCGAGGCCCTTTGTCCTAGGGTGAGGTCCCGGTCCAGCAAGACAAATAACCACAGCCCCAGGAAACAATGACCAACAATTGCTGAATTACAAGATGTACCAATGGGATGCTGGACCCGGTTTCCAGCAGGTGGAGCTCCCCACCAATAGATGGAGCCGCCCGATCAGTGTACATAGTAACTGCACAGCGATCCATTAGGATTGACAGGCACAAATAGCAGCAAGCTTACTAATGCAGAATGACAGACAAACAGACAAACAGCTTATTGTGAACTACATTACAGATAGTGGGCACACCTAGTGCCAACCAATCATGATACTCCGCTTGATACCCTTGATCGGTATTAGCAGGGTCTATGACCAATATGGGTGAGCATGTGAGCGTGAGTGGGTTGGTGTGCTGTGTGGGGGAGTGTTTGCCATAGCCACTGCTTCTACCCAATGGAGGGTGGGGGAAGTAGATGGGAGGCGCACCTACTGGCAAAATGCTCGGTCTTCGCGTTAGCCGCCCCCATCCCACCGGCGGACCACCACCGATTAGGGCGGGGGGCAACATGCATCCCCATAATTGTGACAGGTAGCTATTCTTGCAAGCGTCCTATTGACCGAGCGACACCGAAGCGCTAGCGGCGATTACGCAGGGAACGTACCGACCGGCAGGCCTGGCGGTCCCGGCACCCCAACACCTCGAAGTTGACGAGGAGGACAGATGGTGTTGATGCCATCGCTGTGAGTGAGACGACGTCCAACCACAAGATGTGGAGGAGGTAGGACGGAGGGGAACGAAACAGCGACACGGACGGGAAGATAGCATCCCGTAGTCAGCACACAGAAGGCGTCCTTGCCAGCGGCGCTCAAAGAAGTAAAAAGTCGAGAAGTAGCGATGAGTAGGGTAAGAGGCAGGTGAGGGAAGGAACGACTGATGAAAACAGACCGCAGCAAAGGGAGAGAAGTGAAGTTGACATCGTCCATATACAAAGCAGAGACACGAAAGGAAAGAGGGAGACAAAAGGTCAGACAATAACGACAAGGGGGGGAGAAGGCAGGCGGAAGGAACGTGTAAGGAATATAGCCTACAGCAAAGGCAGAGAAGCGGAGTCAGCATCACTCGTTAGGACAGCAGAGAAACGAAGGGAAATGGGGCA